CCTCTTCGTAGCTCGGTCATATGTCAACACCCCTTCCTCCCAAGCACGGACCAGCTCATCAATCAGAGGCTCCATGAACACACCCATCTTACTCCCCGGGTGTCCAGGAATTATCAATGATAAGAATATATTATGTCATCGAAACACGACACCGGGGGGGGGGGAGATTGAGGGGGATAACGAAGATTGGCCAACAAGTGTATGGGGCAGCCATCAATCCATAAGGATTGAACCCATCTGTTGCCAGCGCAACACGTACATTACGAGCCTCAAGAGCTTTCTCACGATGAATCCCATCAAAGTGGGTCCATGCTTCACCATCAGATGGATGTACCATCTTCTCAGGACTATATCGAGTGCCATTTTTGTGCCACGTCATCTGTTTCGCGGTTTCCTCGGTCATGTATAGCCATTGGATCCTCGGTAAGAATGGAAGGTACCGTAGGATCTTCACGAGGATCCCAAGCTGCCTCTTCTGACCATCACCAGACTCTACCTCCAGGTACCTAGAGGATTGACACTTTGGACAGTACTTTGCTTTCTCGTGTTCTTTCCTAAATAGGACGCACCCCTTCGGACAAGCATGTATCTGCTCATATGGCATCTTGAGTGCACGAAGGAGTTTCTGCGACTCGTACATGCTCTTTGGCATAATGTGAGCTTCTGGAAGCAAGCTGCCAATAACTGCCAACGTAGCATTGTAACAATCTCGACTCATGCTAAACTGAGCCTTTAAGGCCATTACCCGTCCAATGGCATCCAATTGAAAACCTTTGTGTGGCCGTGAAGGGGTTTCTGTGCCGAAGACAACATGTCATAATACGCCTTTGCGGTTGCCTCTGGCTCCTCCTCCCCACCTTCTTCACCTACGTGTGCTTCGTGAAAGTCATTTAGCCAGTCACCTACCCCGGCATCAGCATCGAAATCTTCGACGCGTGCTCTCACGACCTCCTCTCTCATCCGATCGGCTTCACTGTGGTAGATCCACCGAGTATAATCTGCCGTGAATCCATTCTTGCAAAGATGAGTAGACATGACATCCTTTGATTGCCGACGCCTGTTTGCACATCTACTGCACGGACACCAAATGGCCGACGCTCCTGGAACTAGGGCAAATGCTCTATCTATGAAAGCCTCCGTCTTCTCAATCCATTCATCAGTCAAAGCACGCTGACTTGGGCGGCCCGTGTACATCCACTCACGGTCATCCATCCTCTGACATATATATATATATATACCAGCGAGACATTAAGAATCAATTTGCATGTACACGACATTAAGAATTAATGCTTAAATAATAGTAAGGAGGGTTCGTGTTCGTGGAGGTAATGTGAAGTGGAGGGCTCAAACCCTTGTGAGGAGTGCCATTCCACACAAGCCACATGAACCGAACGGGATCAGTCGGCCCTTACCTTTGGGAGGGGGCGCCGGCTCTTCCTAGGCGGTTGGAGAGGGTCGGTCGGCCCTGCTTGACGGCTGCAATCCCCACACCTATCGATCCTTGTCAGCTCAGCTCGAAACTATAACTCATGCATATTGTTGAACAAACATAGTAGAGTAGAAAGTTAGATATAGCTATCTACTAAAGGAACAGCTCATAGAATTCCATCCCAAAAAGAACATTTACATGAAGAGGAATAAGATCATTTTCGACAATAAATACCAAACAGCACATGTTTCTGACTTAAGCACACATATTCATTGCACCATATATCTCATAAAGGCTATATATCTTAAGCATATATTCATTGTCAAAACTGCAGCATATATCTTAAGCACATATTCGTTGCAGCATATATGTTTTTAAAATGCTATATATCTTCCAAGCTAAGCCAATAAAAAGAAATATTTTTCTGTACTTGGGCATATTATGACAAGAAACTTAAATAGAAAAAGACCCACTGCCATAGAACAAAAGGACGTTATCACAATACAGGTATCTCCAAACGCAATACTATACTTTTTTCCTGAATACACCTGAGAGCTGTTTATCATTCATTAAAGAAAAAAAATGGTACAGAACCAGTTCAAACCCATGCAAAAAATACACAAGGCGCATCACTTGCTAAAAAAATGCAGTATACTAAGCAATAACCAAAAGCAAGTACTGGTCAAGAACTGAAGATACCAAGGGTGCATATGGTTGAGTAGGATGCAATATTCGAGCATTTCTGAAGTAAAGAACCAAATCCTATCCCAGTTAACAAGAGCATAACCACATTCACATTGAGGATGAGACAAGGGATGCAATGATACAACCATAAGACAAAAGCACCCAATACATTGGCACAGAGCTAATTGTTAGGTATGGAACTAGAGCAGTTTCTAGCAAGGCTCATATAATACACCCATCCCAGGAGCATCTAGAAGTACCACTGCCCATTTCAGGCGACGAGCAAGCCTGTTACAACATTACCATCACATAGGAGTATAGACAGTAGAACATTCTTAGACCATGTTGCTCCAGGAACTAAAATCAGTGGGGCAAAACTTCATATAGCACAGCGGTGTAATAACAATCTTAGCACGGGTTCTCTGTCAGCTCACCTAGCTCAATCCGGAGCTCGGCGAGGCGTCGATCCGGAGCTCGGCGAGGAAACGGCCGCGGGGAGGAACTGGGAGACGTCGATCCGAAGCTCGGCGAGGCCGGACCAGCTGCGGCGGCCCCCAGTCTTCAGTGTCAGGGGAGAGGGAGGGAGAGCAGTCGTCTCCGGCGGCCTTCTCCGACGAGTACCTAGGCAGGGGCGGGGACGGGGAGGGGCGGCGGTGGCGCTGCCACGGTGGGAGGGGAGGAGCAGTGGTGGCGTGCCTGGCCGGTGCCGTCTCCGGCGACCACGGGTAGGGGCGGGACGGGAGAGGGCGCGGCGGGGCGGCGCTGCTACGGTGGGCGGGGGGCAGCAGGTGGCAGGCTCTGGCTCGGCGACCGCCGAGTAGGGGCGGGCTCAAAGGGGGAGGCTCAAGGCGGGGCGGTGAAGGTGTAAGCGCGGCGGCTGGGGGAGGCCGGAGGGGCTGGCCAAGCACCGGTGGGGAGGGAGGAGGCTGGGAGGCGAGGCACCGGGGCTCTGGCTGTGGAATTGAATGGGAGAGGAGGAGGAGGGAGGCGTGGCCAGGCCTATTTGCGCTCTTGGGCCCTGTTTGTCGAAAGTGCCGGCCCGATGGGGCACTCGGCAACATTTTTTTTTTTTTTTTTTTTTGCTGCAAACCTTTTCGTACTTACAGCTTTTAAAAAACATTTTTAAGCCTTTGCCGAAAGTGCCCCACCTTCCGCACTCGGCAAAAAGGTAGATATTTCATGTGCTTTTTTACTTTGTTTAGTTCCAAAACTCAATTTTTCCCTGATGAAGTTACAAAAATCCTTGTTAAATTCACTTAGAAATTTATGTTCGATGCTTTTATAAATTATTGGGCAACATTTCATGTAATTGTTGTTCAAATCCAATTTATCGTAAATAAAATTCAATAATTGCGGTAAAAAAATTAAAAATTGTCAAACGGATCCGAAAAATTGCCAAAATTTTACAGGAAACGATCTTTGTTCTCTAATCCATATAGAAAATTTTTTGAAGTGAAACTCAAAATCGAAATTCAAATTGTCTCCAAATCTTACAGGATACTCTCAAATCTCAGAAACTTCTCTGGAGATGCTCCGATTTGTAAGCAGCGTACGTGTTAACTGTGCCGAAACAGTCTCAATTTTTTACCATAGCCTCTATGTATGATATCGTGACAACTCGATGAATTTCATGATTTTCAGACTTCGTTTGCTTTTTATAGAATTTTCAGATGTTTCCGCCACACGTTTGTGGTCATGTTTCGCGAACACGATGTTCGAAATTTCTGGTCTGGCCCTGGATACGATCTCACATCAGACTCAGTGACAAGAATATCATTTTTTATTCACTTTTTTCGAATATTCGAAGCACTTGCAGTTCAAATCCAAAAAATTACCGAAAATTCATTTAACTAAAATAAATTGACGAAATATAGTAAAATCACTCAGAAATATACAAAACTTCAACACAGAGCAACATGTATTGTAATACAACAGTACAAAAGGTTTGGGGGGCAAAATAAAAAAAATGGTTTGCCGAGTGTCAGATGGTGACACTCGGCATATAGCATGAGTTACCGAGTGTCGCAAGGTGACACTCGGTATATAGGAAGGTTTGCCGAGTGTCGTATGGTGACACTCAGTATATATGTGGGTTTGCCGTGTGTTAACATGTGACACTCGGCAAAATGCTAACGGAGGTCGACGGTGTTATCCGGACATGAAGTTGCCGTGTGTCTATTGTTTGCCGAGTGCAGGCACTCGGCGTATACAATTATGCCGTGAGTTTTATGTTTGCCGAGTGTCGTATTCGGGACACTCGGCAAACATGTTGTTTGCCGGAGCACCCGAAATCTTGCCCACGGCAAAGCTGGGGACACTCGGCAACTTAGGTGTTTCCGGTAGTGTATGGGTTCCTGAACCCACACTAGCGTCGTTCCTTTCATCATCCTCTCCTCCATGTCGGGCAGAAGCTGACATCAGCCGGCTACTTAGATAGTCCATTGGAACCATGATGATAAATATGCAGCGAAGACCCTGATGGCTGTGAAAAGACAAAAGAACAAGAATTCGCCCTGATTCAATTATTCTGTGAATCCTCGAATATTTGATCTGAGTCGAGGCCAGCACCACAAAGTGATAAGAAAATAATTGAACTTTCCAGGTCCCCTTTCACAAGGAGTGCAGAAACGATGAAAGGGAGGTGAACTAGCACCGGGCATGTGGATAACAGCCGAAGGCCAAGGCAGCACCAGTGGTCAGTGGAGAGCGAACAAAGCACCTAAAAGGCTAAAACTCATGCATTCTCTCCATTCTACCATTCTATACAGTGGTTTGGACAAGGAATCCGCTGTATCACGGTACAGTCATGCCAATATGCCATGATGCTATACACGAACTAGTGCTACAGAATTACCCGAAGGCTTAAATACACAACATATCATGCATTTCATAAGCACGCTAACTGTGAGCTTTGCGTCAATGGCCTCTGATGGAAGATCTCCCCAAGTCGCTCGTACAGGTATTTTTGTTCCTCATAGGCTAGGTTTCTTATAATCTGAATGAAAAAAAAGGTAGACATTTGTTAGAATCACGCAAGATAAATTGCTTGAAGAAAGGAAAAATCACTCTCAAGATAATGAGAATAAAACATTGAGGTATAATGATCCTGACCTGATCCAAGATTATCTCAACAGAGAAGTTCTGAGGTGCAATGAATGATTGGTGGTATATGTATGCAAACACTGCCATAACCATCTGGGGGAAAAGCAAGCAGAAATTTATGTTAAGCTGTGTGGTCTACAGACTGGTATTAAATCATTTTTTCCAGTCAAACACATTTATACTCAACAAAAGGTAACACACACGTTTGCACAGGAGAAATACAAATACAATCGAGCGAGCCTTTAAAAAAAATGGCTTCCCCACCATTACTCCTTTCTCCACAGAATTTTACTAGGTTTATGGGTCAACATTGCCCTTAGAAACACCTGACACATTAGGCCCAGACAAAATGAAAACATAAAATCTTGCTAAATGGAGGAATGGCAGACCTAAAATGAGGTTGCTACTCCTGCCATTATCGCTAGACATTTGGTTCAAATGATTGTTCTGTAGCTGATGGTTCAGATTAGCCACAGCACAAAGGCCTCATCTTACCTTATATCGATAGAATGAGAAAGCTAAAAGCTTGCATAACCATGGGCCAGTAACATTTCCCTATAGCTAGAACGTTTCTTGAGATACTTACTTGACAATCCATTCTGTCAGTAATTCCACCATGCCCAGGTATGCTGTCACCAAAATCCTACAATTTTGTAAAATAAAAAAGATATATCAATTGGAGTAAAACAATATTATTGATGCAAACAATGAAGTGGTACATACCTTTATTTTGAAAGCCCTCTTGAAGCCACTCGCAAAAAATCCTCCAAATGGTGCTATTATTGATGCAAACAAACCCAGGGCTAAAGCATGCCACTGCACAGGCATAATGGCTAGTTCTTTCCATGGGAACTGTTAAGACTTAAGAGACGCATCTAATCAAACAGAGTGAACTCGACCAACCAAGAGGAACTAGACGGCATTGCATATATGAAGAAATAAGCGCCTGAGTTCAAGTTTGAAGGAGTCAAACCTGGTTAGTGAGTATCTACAATTGTACACCTACACCTCCCACCAACTGAGTTAGTCTCAGTTCCTTATTAAGCACAAGCTAGGGGCTTGGTTATGATTGTTTTACCGTTGTGCAGGCATATCAAAGTAACTTCTCCATTGATTTATCATCAAGAACTAGCCTTGATCTTCTCATTGATTTCAGAAAATAACGAAGTCAGAAGAAAAAAGAAGACAAAGCATTGTCTACCCTGAGAACATGTGTGCCTCCCATCACATATTCATATACAGCTCACTGTCTTATTTCGTTGTCAGACTGGATTCCTCCTCCCCAACCCAACTTCTTTGCCAAAGGAACAGGGGGGACCACCGACCACACATTGTGCATTTTACAACTTACAATCACATGTGTTCCATCGATTTTACAAGATGGCTATTTTTTATCCAATTTGCAAGTTATTTAAACTATTGTGTTCTACACAGCAACATTAATAGAAGAGGGGTCATATCAATGACATTCTCACAGAGTAAAATATCTGTGAGACCTTTCATGTTAGCTTGGGTCCAAACCCTTCATCAATTTCTACCCTTCTGTTAACCTCTACCTTCCCTCCAAAAAATTAACAGAAGAGATCGATGATCAATCATGGGTATGTTTTGACTCCATAAATATGACATCATCATACTTAGTGGCCATATATCATGGAGTTGGCATCTGTTATATTTGTCAAAGTATCTACTGATATTCTCGTCAATACAAATGTACTAGTATTATTCTACAATATGCTTTATCAAAAAGGATTGCAGTTAATTTGTACTTGTATCCCTTTTTTTTCAAGTTCAATATACATTAAGAACCAACCTTTTCTGCAGCAGTGCGCTAACTTTACTAGTACTCCTCTATATTCCTTCAACTCAATAGAAACATAATCTGGTGCTTTTTAGGACAACCACCTCTTCCACTTGGAAGGAAAACTTTGTTTTCTTTTGGAATGACTTATTGATTAGGGATTACAATCAAAGACCATGCAAAATGTCTAAGTGCAATACGAGCTAGTATAAGGTTCAAAAGACCATACTACGATTATTTTGAGATAACCTTTATGATTGGAACAATGCAAAAACGCCACCTTAGAGTACAAGAAACAATATTAAAATGAATGAATTGAGCAAAAAAAAAAAATTACTGACCCAATGTGGCACCCATTCTTCCAACGAGTAATGCTCTGACTTAAACATTGGACCAGGGTCACAATAAAGCCACCCAGTCGACAGATCCTGAAATTATTTGCATGACAAATTTAGTAATACGACAGCAACTTGACTATAAAACAATCATATTCTGAAGAAAATCTATGTAACCTTTCTTGGGCATGTCAACCATTGGGAACGACCCATTACATTTGCTAACTGCCACAGAAAAAGGAAAAGTGATCAACACATCATTTGAAGTACAAACAAATAGCAATATTTTTACAGACAGAAGTTAATAGTGGATTATATTAAAAAATCAACCTGTTAAAGTTGTATTCCCAGGAGAACATAAACCATGAGTCGCCAAATAAATCCTCACATTGCAACGTGCTTTTAACTTGTAAGGTTGATAATGAAAGAAAATGAGTTACTAAGGAATAGACAGACCCTGCCTCCACATACCTGCCAGTGCTCTTTTAGATGCAATAATCATGGCTAACTTAATTGGTTTGAAATTTTGAACATAAGCTGGTTTGTTCCACAGGTCATCTTTGGATCTCAGGCAAGTCTTGATTAATTGCAATGTCACCAGCTTCATTATCAGAGAGAGGGAGCGGGAGCGGGAGCGGGAGCGAGAGGGAGGGAGGGAAGGAGGGAGAGAGAGGGGGGGAGGGAGGGAGGGAGAGATCAATGAGAAGGGAGATCAGAATTTTGCTGGTCACTGATAACTAACAAGAGAAAAGATGAGTTCTCAGTAACCTGTAACTCATTCATTGACCACACATGCATACAGAAGAAACCATAAGTGGACAACACTATAACACAACAGTAGGACCAGGGCAACATTTAGTGTTAGAAGATAGAAGTAAAGCCTCTAATTTAGACACATCTATAGGTAGGGCTATACTTCAAGACAAAGTGCCATTACATGTGCATAAAAACAAGGGGGCCGGTAAGGCTATTAAAAAATTTCATCATTTCAAAAAAAATCAAACGTTGCTATAAAAATTATCTTGATGGGAAATCGGGAATTTAACAAAGTCACACCAGAAAAGCAGAGATGATAGTTGTCACTGATGCACCAATAAAACCTTCCCAGGTTTTCTTTGGGGACAACTTGATTAGTGGTGTTCTTCCAAGAAAGAACCCGAATAAATAAGCAAAGATATCGTTGATCACAATAAGTGAAGCAGGCAAAAGAAACCTGAGTACACAGCATTGTAGATGCATGGAGTTCATTAACTGTAACACCCTGCTAGGTGTTAAGCATGCATTTAGCCTTGGCATTGCATGAGCACAAGCATTTTTTATCATTCATGAGCATGAGCATATCAAATATTATCTCTATGTTGGCTTATATTGCATGTGTTGTCGCTAAAATACCTTACATGTGCTAGGGTTTACATGTAACCAATGTCTAAAATGTTGTGGGACCCTAGGAGTACCTTAAACATGTTTAGAATATCACATGGAACAACTTTCGTATTCATGACTAAGGCTAGTTTGGTCTCTAAGTCATAGTTATAGTGTAACTCATCATTTTCAAGTTGTATGTTTGACCTAAGTTGAACTATAGCCTAGAGTGTTTGCATGGCAGTGCACCCTTAAGTAAAGTTGTAGTACTTGATTAGAGCAACAACTTTTATTTTTGGGTCAAGGCCTAATTATGTGCCTAACATGGTCAAATAGGGCTCATAAGTATCAACATTGTACTATTTTTGAAACTTAGAAATTTTTTGTAAGTCAAATTGATTTCACCGTTTCAATGTGCCTGACTTTGAGATGATTTAACTTCCTGACCGTTGAGAATTAGGAGATAGTTCCTATAGCAATATTGTAGCCCTTACGTAGCTCTACAAATTTTGTTTTAACGTCGTGCACTAATTCGCCGTGGATTAAGCGCTTAACCATCCTCATTTCGCGCTGTCAGTCACACTGTCGGGCGCTGATGGCCGCAGTCGCCGCGCCGTGGGTGGCCGACCGAGCGCAGAGCCTGGCCGCCGTGTGGCCGCCGCTGGCCGGCGTTGGCCCCCCATCGCGGCAGGTTGGCGTGCGATATCAGTGAAGCCACACTGCTCATTTCACTCACTCCATCGCACTCTCTCCCTCTCTGCTGCTCCCTCTTGCGCGCGCAGCGGAGGTGCTCTCGCCGCCGAGCTACCGCAGTGCTCCATCGTCGCCTTGTTCCCTCGCCGCCGCACCATTGCCGCTTCCAGCTAACCATCAACTTCACCATCTTCCTCTCTACCTCCTCGACCTAGCTGCAAGGCCAGGCAAGCCACGGTGAGGGCGAATTCGCCGTTCTTGTCCTCACCGGAATCTCGGTTTCCATGGCCACCTTCACAGCGAGCTCGTCGCTGCTCGGCTCCATTGTTCCTTCCATCTTCTTCGCGTTAGCGCTAGATAAGGGTGTGGCCTAGCTTCTAGTGTGACCCTACGATGAACCGTAGCCTCGCCGGCGTTGAACACGACGGCTAGCGCCGTTGCGCTCTCACCGCTGCACCACCGCGCACGAGGATGAACCCCGTGGGCTCTTCCCAACTAACCGGTAGCCTCGGTAGGTTCGCGTGGTCACTGCGGAGCCCATGCGCTTCTTGCCGGGCCTTGCCGTGGCCAGTAACGGCTGGCGCACCTCCACGCAGCACCGCCGTGCCGCCATGGCCGGCGACAAGCACGCTCTGGTGCGTCCGCGCTTCCACCACCTATACCGGTCGATGCGGGAGAGTGAGGAACATTATTGTGGGGTTGGTTTCACCGGAAAGCTCGCCGTTGGCGAGCTAGCGCCAGTTAAACCACTCCCCTGTCTCGGTTCGGCTGACAGGTGGATCCGCTGACCCGTGGGTCCCATGCGTCAGCGACTACAGTTTAGGGTTTTGTTTATTTCTTTTCCAAATTTTGTTCTAACTTTGGAAAATCATATCTAGAGCTAGGAGTGTCCAATTTTGGTGAACCAAATTTTGTTGGATTCCTCATGAAGTGTAGTATTTTATAAAAATATGAAATGCATTGTTTCTGGTATTTTTATAGGTGAATAAATGTATCTAGATAAGTACTTTTTGAATGCTTGCAATCTTGTAAAATGTATAACTTGAGCTAGGAAAGTGATAAAATTGTGATTCTAATTTTGCTAATCTTGTGTTGACATTATCTAGCTAAGAAAAATAATAAACTAGCAGTAAACTTGATCGAAGTAGGGTCTTTCTATTTATCTATTAATAAATAGTGTTTTCTAAGAAAATTTATAGGGATAAAATAAGTAACATATTGCCATGCAAAATTTTGTACAATGATTCGGCACTAGGCTGAAGCTAAGAAAAATATAGAATCTGTTGCTTGACACTTTTCTATAGGGTTAACTGTTTTTACTAAAATAAACCTTGCTAGCTTGTCATTTTTGAAGAGGATGTTATACTTTTTCAAATGGTATAAAATTTTTACAGTAGTCTATTGGGAGCACTTGAAAGCTACTGTAATTTTCTCGAGAATTTATTGTGCGCATTTGTTATATGTTTGTTATTTCACCTAATTATCTAATTAAATTAATAAAGGCATTTAAATAAAAAAATTGGGCTTGACCATGATGTTTTCTATGGTACTTTTGATACATATGAACTGTTTATGTTAGTAGTAAGGCTTAAAAGCAATTGGTTGTATGCAACTAATGAATTATTGCTTTATAATTAGACTAGATGACTGTATGTATAGTTTTGGTTGAGTTGATAATTTCATGATGATAATGGTCTTTTCTGTAAAACTTGTTAATAACAAAGTTGTAGATAACTTACTGAGCTACCTTGTGTTAAATTTTTATAGTCATAGGCCTTATGGTTTAAGATTTAGGGCTGTTAGAAGTCAGCTGTCTGAAATACTTGCTCTCTGGATAGATTTGAATGATTAAATTGTTTGACCTAGATAACGGCTAAACCACATTAAGTCGATTAAAAGAAAGTTGTAGGAAATTTCATAAGCTTTCTATAATGTCCACAACCATATTATTTTGATGTATATAACTCCAGTTAGGGCCAAAACAATTAACTACTGTCTTGTAGTCCAAAAAATAATTTATAGAAGTATTTGCTTAAGTAGTAGAGAAGAGATATGCACCTACGCAGTAGAATAAGATGCACTTGTTATTACTTTAATACCATGCTGTTGAAAACACTTATGAGGATGCTTTCATCATGTTATATCATATTATACGTGTCATCATATATGCATTCGTGATATCTTATTCAATGCTCATGCATATAGGATCGTCCAAAGAGATAACGTTGTTGGAGTTCAACGAAGAAGAGGAGGAGAGTCAGCAGGAGACTCCTCAAACCGTAGCTCTTGAAGAAGAGGAGCAGACTCCCGAAGATCTCCCTAAGTGCCTGGATCACCGGCCAACCTCTTTCCTCAAAGGCAAGCCCCAGAGCATTCTAAGTCTCTCATGTTTTACAATATATTACTTGAGTCCTTTATGTTTGATGCATTAGGTTATAAGAGTTGATTAGAAACACTTGATGCATGGAACTACCTTGTCCAGTTACATATACCTTTAACCCTGTGTAGGTCCAAGATCGAATATATGCTTAGCCATGCATAGACCGGTAGAAGTCGGGTGATTTCCTGTCACCCGCTTTATATAGGTGGATACCGAAGCACGGTTGGCTATATTTGCTATCATGGAAAAGAACCATGGGATAATGTAAATGGAGGCCGGGTGGAGTCTATGTGTAGGTTGACTCATGTGATTCTATTTGTGCTGGTTAAGGACCGTACCGTTGTTGGCGCTTCTGATAAGATTGAACGCATGCCTATCACTTAACTGGCCCGATAACTCATTTTGACCGCGAAGCCGAGTAGCTCAACTCAGGTAGGGCCCCGTTCTATAAAAGTGTGCACTCTAGATGGTAGTAAGGATGTGTGGGGAGCCAGCCATGAGCCCAAGGGTAGGGTAGTCCTGATCGTCCTGGCAGCTGGTTGTCCCTGATTGTGTGGCGCTGGTCGAACCCGCGAAATATGTACCTGAGTTGTACATTGGTTTTACCAAAGGTGACATAAGGTGACCGTTGATCTGGTCTGCCTAGGTTTGTGTTAGGAATAAATTCCTAGCTGGTTGAAATCGATTCGAATCACCGTCTCTCCCAGACAGTGAGAAACTTGGCTAGTCCCAACATCGTAGTAATTGTGTTATGGAATGTGATGGTTTGGATGAACATGAAATTACTACA